CACACTCGTGGTAGGCTAACCTTACTGTTCTGTTATGGTTATTTTCAACTCATGGTTTCGGGTTGATATATGTAACTTACTTTTCTCTCTTTTTTACCGAGTTACATGCACACACAATTCTACATACTTATTGTGAAAAAAGGTACAGGTAGTTCTGCTATAACGCGATAATTGTGTTCTTGTAAAATATCGTGTTATAGAAAATCGCGTAATAGAAATAACAGGGCTTATGGAGAAAATAGGGTTAGGTGCAGATTACTCGAAATCGAAAAAATTTAGTAGTTAGCCTATCACAAAGGATAGCACAGTCTAAATAAATGTTACATTCATATCTAATAATGAAATCATACAGTAAATTTAACACTTTACCTTGAAAAAATATGAATGTAACTTGATGGGGGAGAAGGGTGATTTTGAGGTTGATAACATCGAGCTTCTCTTCAAGTGTTATATCCTTTCTTTTACGATAATCACCGGGAATTCTATCATCAGAACGCTTTTTGGAGATATTCTTCTTTACCATATTCACAGTTAATACCACAAAATTGGAGAAATAGTAAGCAAAAATCGCGTTACAGCAAACAAGCGTTCGCGTTATACAAATATTGTTCCGAATTCATAAATCGCGTTAGAGCAAATTCGCGTTGTCAAAACACGCGTTATAGCAGAACTCACTGTAAAATAAATAATTATGTATAAACACATAAAGGGGATAAAAATTCCTTTGCACACGAGTTACGAGGCTGAGCTGGGGGAGTGGAGTGTATAAGGGGAGCCGTCAGCATCTATGCATGACTGTTGTGTTAAGCGTTCAATTAGTTATTCCTGCATTTTTTTTACCTACGTAGATTGTTTACAAATATTTGAAGAAGCACAATTGTTGAATAACATGAGGAAGGAAGGTGGTGTGGTTTATAAATGCTAGGAAAGTAGGTACAGGGAGTTTTGAGTTTGCTTCAGCCTATTGGCTTACTGTGTAAGCCGTTACCTTACGTCTGTAATAATATATATATATTTTTTTTCAGTAAACTTGTTTTGCATTTGTAATAGTAACACAAGACTCGTCACTATAGTCACATCCCCCTGGCCCTTTCCTTACCACTCTAGGCCAATTTGTCAGCTGTTATGGTTATTTTTCAACTCATAATTTGGGTAAATTTTTTTTTTTACACATGCACACACAAGCTTACACACACTACACACACCACTACAACAAAATTCAGCCCATAAGAGCCCGCACCGATAGATATAAGAACAGCACCATCCCATCTATTGTTAAAATAATAAACAACTCCTGATTTATGTACTGTACATCTCTGTAAATGTATTCAATGCATATTATATCATGTCTAAATCAAATGTAAGTCTGTATATTTTCAGCCACTGGCTGCAACTCTGTTAATAAACCGTATTATTATTATTATTACACACACAATGTGCCCCCACAAAAATCATAAGGTCAAAAACATAAAAGGGAATAAATTTTTTTCATTTGTTAAAGAGTTGATGCTATGCGGGGGAGGAGGGAGTGAGGGATCTCAGCTGTTCTGAGCTGTCTCCTGGGTACAGTGAAGTGGTAGACAAATTTCATTGTCCAGCAGCCAAATGGCAATAGTTTAGTATATATTTTTTTATTCTTTGCATATATTGGTATATTTTATTTCTCATCAGAGTTGGTAACTGGAGGGATTTCAGATTTAGAGATGGTAACTCTGTTGATAGTGCCAGCTGTTGTGGTGGTGGTGGTCACAGACTCACAGCCAGGACTCGGTGTTGCTGTCTTGTTATAAGTTATGTCGGATTATACCAAATATTTCTTAAAAGCTACGGTCAAATTATAGGTTGATTTAACATCGAGTAAAAGGGAATAGGTTCCACTGTGTATGCCATGACATCACAGTGGGAGAGTGTAATGCATCCATACATACGTTCACCTCCCACATAGAATACTGTTCACATTCATGCTTTTCATATTTATTTTTTAGTTTTATTCTGTATTATATTTCTGAATCTCATTAGAGTACTGAAATGATTTTTCCACAACTTTTACATTTTCATTACATGAATTAGTGGCAACATAGTGTAGCCATCTCAAGGCCACAGCTGCCTTGGTGACGTGTGTTGTGGAGTGAAGATTATGCGGGTGTGTATAGGTTTCACTTTCAGTGGAGATGAAGTGCATCACACTTGTGATATGCTTTCAGTAAATTCAGTTCCAAAGCTCTGCATTATCTGAGGAACAGAGCGTTTATTGTCGACCATGGCTAGCACTTCAAGTTTATCCTTCATGCTAAGGTGCTACCTGCTCTTTTGGTCCTTAACTGAACAACTTGTTTGGACATTGTTCTCACAATGTTTGTTATTTATGTCATGAGAGAACAGGTCTGCACTGAGAATTAATAGCCACATGTAGACTGAGTACAGCTTGGCTGTGTTGTGATGCGGGTGGGACTAAGTGTTCTATGCCACATCAATAACAATGACATGCAAGATATTTTTTCGAAATTTTATTTATTTATTTTTTTACAAGATTTGTGTCGTAACTCAGGTGCTCCTGTACTCGGGGTGTTTATTGTACAGTATATGTGAATAAACAAAGAAATCCTAATATGCAGTTCACAGTTCACAGCTTCACACTACCGTATAATACTTAGGCATGAAAACTAATATAACCTCTAAATGTTATTGAAAAAGTATTTTACATATCCTTGTCTAATATTTATATACTGTAGTATTTTAAATTTTATGATAATTTATTCTTCTCAGAAGTAAAAATATTCCTCTCATGTACTTTGGGGAAAAATTCCTCTGCAAACTAAGTAAAATTGACAAGAAAAACTTGGAATGAATTAAACGTGTAAGTTTCCGTATTATTTTTGTACACGCACACACACGCACACCCCCACCCCCAATATTCTTCATGAAGTTAGACAAAAGGAAGCATCTGGAATTTTTAAATCACAGTTAAAAGAAAACATAATCTTTCTTGCTTTTAAAATGACTTTTAAGAAAACAAAGACTAAGACTCCCTCTCCACTGATACACTAGCTTATGTTGACATCAGTCCAGACACATAGCTATATTCCCTGGATATAAAGTACAGTACAGTGTAGTAATTGCACATGCAGTTTCCAGGTTTGAAATGGAGAACTTGACCAGAATATTTATGTCTTCTTTACAATAATTGTATAAAAAAATTTTTTGTAAAAGGCTTTACAAAACACAAGAAATCCCAGGATTTATGGCACTTGTCCTGGGGTTTAATATAACGATTTATCATCTGGGATCCTGGTTGAGAAATCCTAGCCGAGATGGTTTGGGCACAAGACTAAATGTGGAGGGGAGATCCTGGGGGTAGGCCAAGAATGACATGGGGAAAAGTTGTAAGAAATAATGACATCAAAATTAAGAACCTGACAAGAGAGGCTGCAAGGCTCTGTGCAGCATGGAGAGCTGCCATCAGAAACCATTGCTATTCCAAGCAAGTGTGCAAATGGTTGTAAGACATTGATGATGGTGGTGGTGCTATAACTAGGGGAGGCAAATTGTGTCCTAGATAAAGCAGACACTTCTGTTCGGTAAGAGTTTGAAAATTTAGACTTGCTAGTGTAGTACAGTACATACTGTACTTGGTGTGCTGTAAAGATTAACAGGTAAAAATGCTGAGTTGTGCATATCCAAAATGATCCTCACTATGCTCTATTGTACAGTATTGGGATTGTCTTGCATTAATTTTGGCATAAATCTTTTTGTCATTTAAATGTTTATTTAGCTAGTAAAGTATCCTCAGGTGTGTCCCAGTTTGTTACTCTAGAGGTGGTTAGGTTTTGTAATTCAGATGTTAATTTATTTATATAGGTGTACTATGCACTTCTTTTCTGGTTTCAGTGGGTCTAATTGGCTTATTTTCACAGGACAATTTATTTTATATAAATTTGAGGAACTTGGGTGATTACTGTATTTACATTTTATTGTTTGTTTTTGTAAAAAGATCAGTTAAAATGTGTGTGTGATTTTTTTTTCACCATTTGATATTGCTGTTATAGTATCAGTCTGTTTTCTTGTCTCTTTAAACTTATTTTTTGTTGATGGTTTATCTGTCAATTTTTTTTATGGCATTTGTGTTTGTCTGTTTCTCTTTTCATTAGTGTTTGCTAGTTGCATTGGTTCTGTCTATCAGTCTTTGGGGAAGAGTGGAGGCAAGTGGTGGGTCATTGTTGTTCCCACCATCTCAAGAGCAAGGTGTTTTCTCCCCATGGTTCTGGAAGTTGTGAATACATTAGCTTAAGATCTCGAATAACTGACAACTTTGAAAGTCATTTTTTTCCATTATCATCTCTGCTGTGGTTCTTTTGGGAAGACTGAGCAGAGTATTTGAATAGTGTGGGAGGGAGAAAGTGACGGAAACCAAAGATGATGAGGATGTGAGGGTATGGAATGTGTTGTGTGCCACAGTGTAAGCCATGATTAAAGAATGTACTGTATATCACTACCATGCTGCATAACCAATACAGGCAGTTCTCAAGGTACAACAGGATCCCAACATATTCATCCAAAAAAATCTGTTCACACTTATTAGCATATACTGGTACAGTACTGTTCCATACTTATGAATGATCAAAGTAATTAAAATACAAATTTTTACTTTACTTTCCTATTTGATCACTTTAGTTACAGTATTTATATTATTTGTTATATATGGGATATTAGTGATGCCTTGTTTGGGCAGGATTGTGCTTTAACCTAACCTAAACTATGGAATTAACGCTGTTCTGACTTACAAACAGGGCCCAGGAATGTAACCCGTTTGAAACTCAGGGACTGCCTGTACAGTACAAGGAATTCAGTGTATTATATATATTATTATATATTATATATATTATATTATAATATATTATATTATATTGTATATACAATGAAATTGTTTGATGATTCTAGTTGTTGTTTTATAATGTCACCTTTGGCATTTGGAAAGTAACGATATATTTGTTTTGTTTCAGGTGGCAGCCAAGTGTGGTGTCTCCAACAGACAGCAGCTCACCGACAGTCTCTTACACCTCATTACCCTAGACTCTGACCCTTCACACCTCATCTCAACTCCCCCAGACCTGACCTTCTCTTTAATATCTTCAAAAATCCCTCTCCAGTACCACATTAACTTCCAAGAAGGATTAAGTGGAACTCCCTTTGCGGGATTTGTGTCTTTAGTAAACCAAAGCAACAGTTTTAGTACAAATAATAGCCAATTATATACTATTAGTGCAAATAATCGTATTAGTGGTCAGTGTTGTGGGAACTCTTGTGTAAGTGGTGTTGGTGGTGCTAGCATTGTTGGTGGAATTAAGTCGGTGAAGAAGCAGGGCAGTTTTATATTCCCAGTTCATCTATCAAAAGATTCCTCTAACTTTGAAAATTCTTTAGAAAAAGTCTTGTGTCTGGTTCCTAATTGTTCAGAAACTGGACTAAGCGAAGCTTTCTGGTTTAGAGGAGCTTACGTCAGAATGGTTTTACCTGCTCTTGGTCAAGAGACTGTGAAGAATACTCAAGAAAGCAGCAGCAGCAACAACACCACCACCAACAACAACAGCAGCAACAAAAACATCAATAATAATAATACCACCACCAAAAACAGGAATAAGAATAAAAATAATAATAACAAAAACAAGGAACTTGTTGTCAAGAACAACATTGAACTTGATGACTTCAATGAGCATTATGGTGCTAAGAAATACACTGAACATAAAGTTATTGAATGCTGCAGTGCCACACCAGTCAACCAGGAAGAGAAACGTGAAGATGATCGGTTCTCTGTACCCCAGTTACCTGCATCCAGCAAAGCTGTTGATCCAAAAGAGGTGGAGAAGCTCTTGCAGAATGTCCTATGTAAGGGCAATCAACAGCAAAAGAAAAAGTGAGTATGAAATTTCTCAACAGCTTTTCAGTGAATACGACATAATTAAGATAAGATTACTGTTTTTTTTTTTTTTTTTTATGATTAAAATACTATTATATCTTGAATACCTGGTATGGGGTAGGTCTTAGGTAGGAGGTGTAAATTTTAAAATAAGAACTAACTAAAAAGTTGGTAAATTGAAGTTTAATGAGTGGCATTGAAGAGATATACTCTAGGGATGTAATGTAAAGATTATAAATATTACTTTATCTTCATATACTTGATGTGTATAGTGTTCAGTAAAGGAAAGAAATTATAAAATGGAGGCTGTAGGTTTAGGTTGTACAGTATAGTATGTACAACAAAATGAAGAATACCAAACAGTGGCCGAGAACATGTGTTATCCTCTGTATAAAGGGAAAGGTGATGAATATTATTGTAAGCAATACAGGGAAATAAAACTGTTGAGTACTGTATATCAAAGTATTTGGCAGACTCCTTATTAAGAGATTTTTAAAGTTTATATTACTGAACAGCAGTATGGGTTCAGAGAAGGAAGGGGATGTGTAGATAAAATGTTTATATTAAACACTGAGATATTTAACGCACGTGTGTATTGAATCAAATTACAGTACAACAATTTATTGAGAGAAAATAACAGCCAACGGTTGAAAATACTCAATGAACCGAGATGACAATGGGGGATTGATCATTTAACAAAAACTTTCATTTTAAAAAGAGGAAGAAGCTTTTGGTGAACGTACAAGCTACAGCAGAGTGGTTGGTCTTTTTGGCCTGATGCAGCTGTAGTGTCAGACAGCTGCATATGGACAGGATCTGTTCCAAAACATGATGAGGATCAGAGGGACTAAGAGAGCCAGTGTACTGAGTGCTTCTTGATAGGTTGTGATTTAGTTGGTTTGGCTTAGTTTTTCTATTTGTAACTCTGAAGTACAGTAAGCCCAAAACAAGTTATCAGTGCCTTTAATACATAACTACGACCCCTACATGTTTGAAGTAGAAGTACTGTACATTAAAACATGTAAGATAAACAAGTGATGATACTTGGCTTAAACTTGTGGTTGTTGTTTGTTACAAAACAAATGTTTTAATTTCTGTTGTGAGAACACGAAATAGTGAACATATGAAAGTGAATGTTTCTTGTGTTTACCAATGTAGGCTACTGTGATAAAGGCATAAAATACAGCTGCTCCTCGACTTACGACAGGGTTAGGGACCCAAATCCAGGTCGTAAGTCGTAAATGCTTAAATAATTCACAGAAAATCTAAAATGGGTGTCTCTTTTTCTTCTCAGCACCACAAAACTCACTTTTAAGCTTGCCAGCCATTTTTAAGTGAATTATAAACGAAAATTTTTCAGTACACAGCGCAATCACTAACGTTGGGACTCAAAAATATGTAATTTGACAAAATTTTGGTACTACGGAGGCGGTCGTATGTCTGGGTGGTCGTAGGTCGAGTATGTTATAAGTCGAGGAGTAGCTGTACTTTGTTTCTTTGGCGGATTAGTTTCTAACAATGCAGTACAGTGGACCCTCGGTTAACAAACACAATTCGTTCCAGAAGGTCGTTCGTTAACTGAATCCATTGTTTCAATGGGATATTGGGTAATTGGTTCCAGCTCACCGAAAAGTACATACAAAGTAAAAAAAAAAATGCAGTAAAGTACACTTACTTTGAGGTGTGTATGTAGAAGGCTCCTGGTTGATGATGCTGATGATGGGAATTAGAAGTGGGAGGTGGAGGAAGAGAAGGGAGAAGAGAAGGAAGTGGGGGTGGAGGAGAAGCATTTTAATGCTTCTTGGAAGGCGAGTCACCTTCCATAATAATGTCAGGAACCTTTGGACTGACAGATTCTCCAACAAGAAAATCCTCTCTCCTTTTTGAAGAGGAACACTGAGGGGAAGCATATTTCTCACGCTGCCTTTTAGAGAAGAAACTGTCAATTTTTCGTTGTGGGGCATTTCTCCTTCTGATCAGTAGCTGGTTCTTGAAGGAGACCACTTTATCCTCAACAGTACACAAAATCGGTTCTGTTGTTTCCACATCAGGGTGCCTTGAAGCCAGTTTCCCAAACATCTCCCAGTGGTGAACAACATCTTTTAAGTCTGAAGAAGACATATGGTCATCACTTTCCTTTTCCTCCTCACTACTGTCTGTTTCTAGCACCTCGTCTAGTTGTTTCAAATCTTCAGGAGTAAGTTCCTGCTCATGAGACATCATAAGCTCTTCAACATCATCCTCCTTCACCCATTGAATGACCAATGGACACAATCTCCTTGTCCAACTCCGTTTCTTCCTCAAAATCATGGACTGCTGTTGGCCACAGTGCTTTCCATGCAGAATTCAGGGATCGAATGGAGACTTCTTGCCATGATGACACGATCAATTTTACAGCTTCCAGGATGTTGTATTGCGTCTTCCAGAACTGTGCCTGTGATAGATCAGGATCAGTGGTAGTTGTCTGATGACACCTGAAAATTTTCTTCATGTACAGCTTCTTGAAGTTGCTGATTACATTTTGGTCCATTGGCTGCATAATTGATGTAGTGTTTGGAGGCAAAAACAACAGTTTGACAAAGTCAAATCGAGCCTCCAAAGTGCTGGCAAGTTCAGGGTCATGACCAGAGGCATTATCCATAAGGAGAAGAGCCTTTAAAGGAAGTTTATTGGTGGTTAGGTAACTCTTCACAGAAGGGCAAAACACCTCAACAGCCCATTCATTAAAGAGCTGTCTTGTTACCCATGCCTTACAGTTGGACTTCCAATAAACTTCAAGTTGTCCTCTTACCACCTTTTGTTGCTTGAACACCCTGGGGTTCTCAGAGTGGTATACAAGCATAGGCTTCAGTCAGAAATCCCCTAAAACATTGGGCATTTTCTTCCAGAACAGCCTGGTTTCATCCACATTGAACACTTGCTGTGGAAGATAAGTCTCTTCATCAATCAGTTCCTTGAACTCCACTACAAATTTTTCAGCTCCTTTATCTGTACTGGCAGCTTCACCATGCCTAACAACACTATAAATGTCACTTCTTTTCTTAAACTTATCGAACCAGCCCTTGCTGGCCCTAAACTCTTCAAACTCAGTTTCAGAAGAACTAGGTTGATCTTCCTTCAAATGTTCGTATATTTCCCTGGCCCTTTCACAAACAAATTCAGTAGAAATTGAATCTCCTTTCATTTGTTTTTCTTTAATCCACATAAGAAGGAACTGTTATGTTCTGGATAATAAGTTCAATATACAGGAGAGAACATAAACACCTGTATAGATTTTGTAGGTTCGATTTACTGGATCAGAGATATGTACACAAAGGGAAGTAGTGCTCTCCTCAACCTGGCTGCTTGTCAACTGCTATAGACGACGTATGGCAAGTGAGACATTAGCAGCTTCCGTACGTCGCCAGGCACATTAATTAAGCATGTGGGATATGGTAATTACATTGCCACACGCTGCTAGCTAGGCTGAATAAATAATACATAAATGGAGCACATACATAATATACATACATAATATATAATCCAGCATACATAATATACATACAGGAACCTCTCTGTTTCTGCAATTAATGATCTACCTTTAAACACACTGGTAGATTTATCTCTCACTTTCACTTCTTTAAATTTTTCTTTCTGCGCAAGAATTGTCGACACAGTTGATGCCGACATGCCATACTCTTTACTTAGTACATTGGTTCTAATGCCTTCTTCATGTTTCTTTATAATTTCCTGTTTCACTTGAATTGAAATTGCCTTTCTAGATTTCTTTGGACCCATGCTGGATGCAATACAGTGATTTCAGTACTAAAATTTTAAGTTCACTAGCTGTAATTAAAGATTATTTTATTTAAATCAACACTGCACTGTGCTGTATATTATCAATAGGTTAGATAAATTTCAGAATGACCAATAATTGTACAGTTGAGTCTGGATTTACGCAGTTTTGGTTTACGGGTTTGGTCATTTACGCGGTGCCTTGCCAGAATTTAAATGCTTGATTTACGCGGGAAGTGGTGCGGGCAGGGCGCGCACAAGGTCGCCCAGTCATCAAAACATTACCGAGTTCTTCACCCGCCACCCACCACAGCCGGCCCAAGTCAGTGATAGTGAGGATATGGACTTTGAGGGGTTTGACAAAGAGGCCCTGCAAGCCTATGTGGTGGATAGTGATACAATTGATACAAGTGATACAGGTGAGGGCCAATAATCTGCCCTCTGCCTCGGAACCTACCTCCTATCCCCATGTGCCCAGCCATCTTTTCTACTAACGTAAGTGTTAAAGAACCTAAGATTATTGATATTTATCTTAATTATTAATTGTGTGTGCATACCATCATAAAATTAAGATGTTATTTTGACTACAACGTAGGTATTGTGTCGGAAAAAGTGGAATTTGGGGGTCGGCCCAGTCTCTATTTCAATTAATCCCATATGTCCTGTTATTATATTTACACGTTTCTCGTTTTACGCAGTACTCTGCGGGTTCAATTGATCGCGTAAATGAAGACCGAATTGTACTGTAAAAATGTAAAAATACTGTGCTCAAGAGACCCACAAGTAAGATGTTTCCTCCACTGTACAGAGAGTTAAACAGACGCTTTGGTGGGTGAGTGAAGTGGCTGAGGGGCGCACCAAAAAAAGTCCCCTGTACTGCATATACAGGTATTATCAATATGTTAAATAAATGTTAAAATGACTAATAATTTTAATATAAAACTTGCAAAAATATTAAAGAGCACAACCTTCTTGATATTTACTCCAATGGAAACGAATGTAAGCCTAGAACCGATTACTGTATTGGCAGACTAGTCTATCAGCTGATACGCAAGCCAAAACATGTTGTTGTAAGGATTTCGTTAATCAAATTTTTGTTCGTCAACCGAATTGAAGATCCTTATGGAAGGTAATTCGTTAACCGAATCGTTCATTAACCGAGTGACCAATGTATAAGCAATTGTTTAAGTTTTGCTTCCTTCATTTTGCATTTTACACTTAGC